TGGAACAATGATCTTAATGTAAGATCTGAAATGTGGCCTGAATTCTAATTGATCTTAATAGTAAAACCTGGAGACAACTACCAGGGTGAAAGCTGAAATATCAGAGAAGCAGAGCAGCCAGCCACTAGGTCTTACCTCTACTTCAGACTGAAAGGGTAATTCTGTCTGTACGAATCTTCAGATTGAATCCTGAGCTACTGCCTTATATTCCTCTCTCCATCCAGCCACATCAGTTTCTGTCTCCACCTCCCTAGTGCTGGGATTAAAGGTGTGAGCCATCACTTGGTTCTGTTTTTCTTTTAGACTGATTCCAATCTTGTGAAGTCCAGGGTGACCTTGAACTCATAGAGATTCATCTGTCTCCCAATGCTGGAATTAAAGGTGTGTGCCACCACTGCCTGGTCTCTATGGCTAACTAGTGTGGCTAGCTCAGCACTCTGATCTTCAGGCAAGGTTTATGTGTTAAATCACAAACAAAATATCATCACACTGAAACTTTGAATCTGTTAGAGGAAAACATCAGGGAAAAAAGCTCCAAATTTTCTGAAAAAATCCGTACTGTTATAAAAGAAAGTAACAAGAATTGATGAATGAGATTGTATGAAATAAGAGTTTCAGTATAGTAATAGTAACTTACAGAATGAAGAAACAGCCTATAAAATTGAAAACCTTTGCTCACTTAATATTAGATGAAGAACAATACACAGCATATATAAGAAACTGCAAAATTAAATACCACCCTTTGCCAATTGTGCAGCCAATAAATAAGTTAGTGAGCTGAACAGGAAGTTCTTTAAAAAGCAAACAAAAGTGAAGTGGCCAACAATACTTGAAATAACATTTCAAGTTATTACCAGTTAATATTGTTACCAGTTAGAATTGTTTTGAGATTCCATTTTGTCCCATTCAGAAGGATTATCATAAAATATGTGACAACAATTGCTGCTGGTGGTAACGTAACTGGTGCAGACACTATGGAAGTTATTATGAAGAAATTTCCCAAAAAAACAAAACAAGACAAAAATAGAATTACTATATGACCCAACCCTATATTTCTTAGGTGTATGTCAGAAGAATTTAAGGTAGCATACCAGATAACTTGCATGCTTTTATTTGTTTGTCTTTTAGCTACACTTGAAAAAACAGCCATGAAATAGAAACAGCTTAGATCTCATCAACAGAGGAATGAGCGGTGTAGTGTGTACAGATACACGTCAGGCTTCTTACTTGAAAAAGAAAAGAAATGACAGCATTTGTAGAAATGTGGTTAGAACCAGAAAACACCATGTTAAGTAAAATCAGACAGACTCAGGAAAAAAATGTTTTGTCTCATATGCATAATCCCTCTCCATACTTTGTATGTATGTATGTATGGATGTATGTATGTATATATGTATTTCATGGCTGTAGATACACATGGGTCCTGAAGCTAAAAATAAGACCAAGAGGGAGAAAATTTTCTTAAAGAAGGGAGAAAGAAGGGGGAAAGGAAGGAGACAAGAGGGGAGATTTGGTAATGGATTACATGTGACATAAATATGGAAGATGGGACTGTTTTGTGGAGAGAAAGTAGATCAGCAGGGTCTGAGTATGAGGGAGGGGAGCAGAGGGGGATAATAAAGTGGGACAAATGTGACACACATGTCTTAAAATGTAGGAATGCGTAAATCATTTCCCATGTTATCATAAAACATTAATTAAAAAGGACAAAAATAGGGTCAATAGGGGAGACCAAAAGAAAGAAAAGAGTCACCTCTGGACAGGACTGTGCTTCCTCTGTTCTCACATACAGTGGATGCTGTTGGAGGACTGGGCTAGATGGTCCAGAGCATGCTAGTGTCAGGACTGCCTTTTCTTTAGAAGTTTCACTTGTCTTGCATACCAAGAACTACTGCTTCTTACCTCTGAGTTTTGCAGCCCATGGGCTAGGCAAATTTTCATTTCCTCCAAGGTCCCTCAGTTTGCACACCCAGTGGGAACAGATGTTCAAACCCAGGGTGAATAAAAT